ATCTCACTAAGGGCGGCGCTCGGCGGGCGGGCGGCCCTGAGGGGGCTCGGGCGGCCCCCGGGCTCGGCCGCTCGCAGCGGGCTCCGGAGGCTCGCTGTGGGGCCGCTCCAGGCCCGTCCTCGCAGCCGCAGGGTCGCCCGATGTTGTTTGTGAGTGGGAGCTGCCCCTGCAGGGCCCCCGGGGTGTGGGGTGCCCTGGAAGCTCCTTTGGAGGGGAGCCCGCTCTGTGTGGGGGGCTCTGGGGACAGCCCGCCTGCCCCCTGAACAGGTTTGTGCTTTGGTGCCTTAGCAATTCGGGCCTTCTGCGTTATTTTTTCACAAATATTTAGTTTGTAAGTGATTGTGCAGCCCAAGCTGGATCCAAGGTGTGTCTGTGGGTTCCTTGTGAGCTCCTAGCTGTTCCAACAGACCTTCAGCTGGCGATGGGGCAAGCGCAGCTGTGTGGGTAGTCCTGCATGTCCCTTATTTTGGCCTTTGGCTGCTGAGCTGGAGTTCTCTCAGTGTTTGGAAGTGAAGGGCTCCGAGGGCTGGAGTCTCTCTGCTCAGGACACCTCTCCATCTCCAGGCTGGGAGAGCTGGCCATGTTCAGCCTGGCCGTGAAAAGGCTCTGGGCAGGTCTTACTGCAGCCCTTCAGTACATGTGAGAAAGAGGGAGAGGGACTTCTTACACGGGCAGATAGTGGCAGGGCGAGGGGGAATGCTTTAAAACTAAAAAAGGAGAGATTTATGTCAGATATTATGAAGGAACTCTTCTTTAATTCTTCCCTGTGAAGGTGGTGAGATCGTGGCACAGGTAGCCCAGAGAAGCTGTGGCTGCTCCATCCATGGAAATGTCCCACTCCACACTGGATGGGGCTTGGAGCAACCTGCTGCAGTGGAAGCTGGACTCTTAGGTATTTTTCCAGGAGGCAGAAGGAAAATGTCACTGATTGCCTTGGGCTCTGAAGAAGGCAAAAGTCAACAGAGAAAAGCCCTGCTTGCAGTCGTATTGTAGAGAGCTCTGTGAGATGTTGTAGCTGCTCAATCCCCCATAGCAACACAGGGATGTTGGAGTCATGGCAGAGTGGGAGTGTGCTGTGACCAATTAGGGGATAGGGAAAATAATTGCTTTAAATTGCCCGAGCCTGATGTCATGGCAGCCAGACAGAGACACAGTCCTTGCAGCTCAGTGAGGACAGACTTATCACCAATGGCACAGGTTTATTTTTAAATGGAGGCTGCACTTCATGAGGAGAAATGTAGAGATGATGAATCAGCTGGCAGAGAGGGAACCAGTGTGGGTAGACTTTTCAACTGATAAGCCCTTGAGGTTTGGCTGTGTCCTCAGAAGAGAACAATTAGGACAGCAGTGCTCACCTTGTAGCTCTTTACCTGTTGGTTGCAGTTCAGGTGAGTGTGGCAGGGCTGAGCTCGTGTGCTCCTTCCTGCAAGGAAACCAGATCCCTGTCTGTGGGATTTCTTTGTCCAGGTCCACAGGAGTTTTCTCCACATGTTTCTTTGTCTGGGTCCTGTTGTGACTGTGCCAGAGCTTGGCTTTCTACCAAAAATTGCCTCCTGTAGGAGTCAAAACAAGACAAGAGCGTGCTGCTGTGTTTGTTGCTCCTCAGTGCACCCTGGTCCGTGGAAGTTGCAAAGCAGAGACAGTGTTAGCAGAGTTTTGAAACATCTTGTATTTAGGCTTTCACAAAATTCTGCAAACATAACCTGCAGTGTCTTTGGAAAATATTTTGGGATTCCAAGAGTTGGCTTGGCAGCAGGGGAGTAAATAATGGTAGAAGGTTTCCAGTGAGAGAGAAGGGAAAAGTAAAGGAGTAGGCAGGGGTGGAAAGTTCACTGATGGCAACAGAAGGATGAGCCAAAAAAGAGTAATTAAACATAAATTTATACAATGCAGCAGCATGGCTCAGAGCAGTGTGGTTAATTGTACACAAATATGTTTTGATTTTCTACCATGGAGATGAAGTGTAACTATGGTATTTTCTGTGGATCTAATCCCTTGACGTTTGCCTTTTTCCACTGATTTTCACTCAACTGGGATTTGATGCTATAGGAACAAATATATGAGAGGTTAGCTTAATATAATTTTGATACAGGTAGTGTACCCTTTCAGCTTGGCTCTCTGTAGGGTTTCAGTGCTGGACTGAACTCTTGGGTGATGCAACTGTCCTGCCAGCATTGCAGGAAGCTGTTTGTACCCTACTGCATTCATTTATTAAGTTCCACTTCAGAAAGAGTTATTGTTGCTCTAAAGAGAAGGCTGTTCCTGAAACTGCCTCCTCTGATGTCTAGGAGCCTAATTCCCAGCCTAGGTTTATTATTTGGATGTCAGTTGTCACAAACCAAAAAGGACAGGTTTTAAGGACTGTTATTATTAGGAAATTGAAAGTTTACAAAGGGTTTGTCACAAATTGTAAGTTTCATTAAGGAAGGGACCTTGGAAGATCACCTGGTCCAGCCTGCAGCTCTAAGGCAGATCCAGCGCTGCTCGATTTCTGGCATAGATTCTCAAATTGTTCTGAAGTTGTCCTGATGGGAAGATTCTGCTGCCTCCCCTCTGACCAAGCCCAGTGCTGCTCTCTCTCCTCTCCTACAGCTTCTGTAAGAGTCACTGCTGTAGGGAACACTCACTCTCTCCACCTTCACACATCTCTAAAGACCAGTACAATGCCTCCCCACTTCTTTTCATCTTCCCCTTGAGCTCTGTTACCACCACTCGTGGTTCCAGGCTGGCAGCTGGCAGGGAATTCAGAGTGGGATGATGAGCAACACCAATTTTGACGTGTCTGTGTCTGATAGGTTTACTGGTTTAATCTTTCCCAACTTTTCTCATCGTGCCCACATAATACATTGCTCACAGAAAGAAAAAATTGTCTGGCTGATACACAAGGACATGCCAAGGTTCTACAGCTCTCTGCTGATTTTGTACCTTTGATACCATAAATGAAGAGTTAATGATAAAATTTAGCAGTATCACCTAGATTCATTTGAATGCTCTTCAAAGTGTCTCCCTTGTTGTGTTTCCTTGTTTCACTGAGGTGAATGGATGCTGGCAGTGAGGTAACTGTGCCTTCCTTGGCAGAAATACCATCTCTGGCAGACCTGCTCTGTGTTTGCTTCCAAGGAGTAGCCAGGCTCATAATTCTGCCTCTGGAGCAGCTATCAAAATGGAGCTAAAACTAATTTTTGTAAATAGAGTTAAAACTTTCCCAAACATTATTTGTTTGAGAGTGAGAACTGGGGGTGTAACTGTGTGTCACCATCATATTTTCTGGAAAAATCCCTTCACCAGGATTTCTCTCCTGGGAAGCTGAGAAGCCTCAGAGAAAAAGGGAAACAATATAATCTCATTTGCTTCTCCTGTGTTTTGCTGCTTTGGAGATTGTTTACCAGCAGGTGATTGTTTAATTGGTTTAATGTGAATTGGTTTTACTTATTGGCTAATCACAGCCAAGCTGTGTCGAGGCTCTGGAAAGAGTCACGAGTTTTTCTTTAGTATCTTTTAGCCTCCTGTCTGTATTCTTTAGTATAGTTTAGTATAGTATTCTTTAATATAATATAGATTATAAAATAATAAATTAACCTTCTAAGAACATGGAGTCGGATTCATCATTTCCTTCCTTCATCTGGGAACCCTGCAAATACACTGTGACCACATGCAAGCTTTGGAGTGGAGTGGCAGATTCCAGGGTTTCTTGTCTGTTTATCCCTAATCTTGTGGTTGCCAGAAAAATAAGAAAACAAGGTTTGTTTTCTTTGCTCCTGATATTGCTACACTGACAGTGCAGTTCAAAAACAAAGTTATAGCAAATATTCTAATTATCTTGCTTTTAATGAATAATGCCTACACTTTAACAGGTGTTAAGGGTGGGTTTGGATTTTTTCTTCTGGAACAGCAGCAATACACGAAGGTGAAGGTTTTTCACCTTCCTCTGTACCCAGCAAAAGGATGGTAAAACAAAACTAAACTAAACTTGTATTTAGTAGCTATCTTGTGTTTTGTAACTAAACTGAACTTGTGTTTAGTTTAAAACTAAAACATCCCCTTTCTATGTTGCACATTTGTTTTTCAGAAACAACCTCACTGACTGGAATGACATTGTCTCAACCTCTTTTCAGAAGGAAGGAGGGAAATGCTGAAGTAGTTCAAACTTAAACTTAGGGCAAGAAGGGCACATAAGCGTGGATTCCATGTGCTTCTTTGCACTCTGCACAGCCAAAGCCCAGAGAGAGTCAAGCCTTGAGCTGCACGAAGACGTTTCTCACCAACCCTGTTGTTTTTCTCTTGCAGCCCTCAGATTTGGAACAAAGCACTGAGACCCACCAGCAAACTGCGAAGCACGAGGCTGCAAGATGTCGGGGCGGAGCGGGAAGAAGAAGATGTCCAAGCTGTCGCGCTCGAGCAGGGCCGGGGTGATCTTCCCCGTGGGGAGGATGATGCGCTACCTGAAGAAGGGCACCTACAAGTACCGCATCGGCGTCGGGGCGCCCGTCTACATGGCAGCTGTCATCGAGTACCTGGCAGGTAAAGCCAGAGCCTGCTCCTGCCTCTGCTCCTCACGCAGGCTTAGCCACGGGAGGGGATGTGAACGTGTGGAGCACTCCTGGAAATCAGGGTCTGTTGAAGCCTGCTGAAAACGCTAAGGAGGTTAATTTGTTTTCTGGGGAGGCTGAGGATGGAAATTCTCTGCTTCAGTGACCGTGCTTAGTCACCAGCTGAGAGTGTTATTTTTTATTTTGCAAAGTGACGAGTCACTTCTGTGACTCTTTTCTCTTTGTCCCAGAGAAAATTGGTATTAATTAGGTTTTTGATGCACCTAAATGTGAATAATAGGAGGAAAGAAAGCAAACCCACCTATAGGAATGTGTCTCCTCTTGTACTGCTTCTGTGCTTTTTAAGTGAGAAAACTGTTTTGTTGGCTGCATTTCTCCTTGCAGGAGAGTGTCCAAGTGTTATGAAATATAAGGGTGGGGTTTTTTTTAATTTAAAAAACCCTCTTGCTTTGCCTAAGTGTATAAAGAAAGTGTTCCAGGGTTTAAATCTTCCCACACACCCTGAGTTTTCTTTTTCCTGCCTTTCTGAAATGGAACTTTGAGGAAGGGGCAGGTGTCCCATGGTGATGCAGTATACTGTGATTCTCTACACAAATATTTCAGAGTGTCCTTTGATCATATCTGAGGAGTTTCTTGTTTAATTATGGAGAATAACACTTCAACAAATTGTTAGAATTCATGGTGCAGAGAGGATTCTGGTTCAGGTTACTTGGGGGTAACAGATCAAGACTGAGGTGCATTAGAGAATCTGTGAGGAGTCACAGCCTGGAGGAATCAGCTGAGTGAGTTGTGTTTCAGCAGTGTACTTTATTGCCAAGGTGGCATGAAGAAGCTTGCATGGAGTCTGGCTGTCCATACAGCAGATTTTATGTAAACACTGCTGTCTTTTATACACATGAAACTTGTTCTCACTACCAGACAATAAAAAGCATTATTTTCTTTCAAAGGTGTGGAGAAAATCTGAGATCTCACTAATAAATTTCACTGTTTTCACAATTTCACTATAAAAATTAAATTTATCATCAAGCCTACTAGTAGATTGCAAAAATTTCCATGTTTATGGCAGTACATTCCAGGATAAGAATAAATTTATTTTTTTTCCCCCTGAGGCTACTTCTGGAGCTGGAGTGAGAAAGTATTGCTTGTGTTGAAGAAATCACAATAACTTTTATAACATAATGTGATGCATTGTGACTCTGCTGACCTTCTGTCTGGAGGGAGATACTTTTTTTCTTCTCCTGTTCTACAGGGAGATATTTCTAGGATAAACATTTGGAGATGCTTGTTCTGAGCTGTGGCAGTTTTTACAAGGTGCAGTAATAAATTGTCAGCAGCACATCTGGTGTGTGCAACATTTCAGTGGTGCAGACTGACTTGTGGTCAGCACTGTTTGCCTGTTACCTGAACTAGAACAATGTATGTCTTGGCTCTGCTCCTGGGTAGTAAGTGCAGTTTAATTTAAATCATTAATCTGATATGAGCAGATTATGTGTGGGCCTACACTTTGCTTTAGAAAAAAAAGAATGTGTAGTCAACCAGGCAAGAAGGTTGCTAGAGGTGTAGGCTGGGAGCCCACATAAATTGTAAGGGAATGCTATTTTCAGCTGCTTGGTTCAGCAGAGAACTCCTGTATATATTGTGGTAGAATGGAGTAATGTTTCGGAGCAAACATCTATTGCTGGTCTTTCCAAACCAAAGTTCCTGTGCTCTGTCCAGGGTTTTGTTTGGAAATATTACAAAGGTGGAGAGTTCAGTTAAACAAAAAAAGTGTTGCAGCATCTAGCCCTGCTGATCTAGTTATTCCTAATATTACAGGTGTATAAAATCTTTGGTTTTGGGAAGCCTGTGGAAACAAAACAGGTTTTTCCAAGGATGTTGTGGAAGGGGGTATTATATGTCAAACAGCTACATTTTCTTAACATTATCTGATCTTTCTATTACAAATGTCTTTCTTTTCTCCTGGATTTGCAGCTGTGAAGTGATGGTTCCTCAGGATGAAAGGCTGCATGAAGGGGAACTGCTTCAGGCTAAATCTGGGAGGGTGGCAGTAAGGGACTGTCACTTTTTAGCTGTTTCACAGAAGCAGGACAATTAATTTTTTTTTAATGTTAAAACATTCATGAAAACTCCTCCTCTAAACCCCTGAGTGCTTCTGTGTGTTTGAGCAGAGATTTTATGCCTTACAAAAGGGGAAGGGTGGTCCCTGCAACCTCAGAGAAATCTGCTCTCTTTGGCCAGGCTCTAACTTTGATAAAACACAGGTTGCTCATGCTCAGCAGAGACATCTTTGACTTTAACATCTAAAGTCTCTGAAGACTTGGTCCTCACTGAACATGTTCCAGCCTCTCTCTGCTCCCAAATCATAACATTGTGGGGAGGTAGTGGCTATGGAAGAAGAATATTGATGTTAGAGACAGGGGCAGGGATAGGTCTAGCTGCTGGGGAGAGCTGGACTGGTGACCAGTGGGCAAATAAATGCTGAGGAGTGCCTAATATCCTGCTAGGAAGCTGGAGAGCAAGTTGAAAAAATAGGAAATAGGCCAAGGTTTGGATGGAGGGGGTGCTGGCCATGAATAACCTGGGCAGGAATATTGAGCCAGAGTAGACAGGAGAAATGGTTACTGTCCAGGAAAGGTGCTGAGGTAGAAGTCTTGGTGTGGATTGCAGGGAAAGGAGATTATACCTGTGGGGAAGCAAGTCAAGGCTGGGATAGGGGCAGGGTGGGTGAGGCTGGAAGGGTCAAACAGAACCAGAACCACCTGAGTGCCTGCATTCCTCCAGGGCTGGCACGGACCAGCAGATCTCTGTGAGTGACCAGTCCTGTGTGGTCTCTGTTGGCCTGTGTTTGTGCTGCCCCAGGGCACTGAGCCTCGTGGCTGGCATCATCCAGAGGCTGCACATGCATCTGGAGCATCCTTACTCCCAGTTTGTGGAGCTGAGGCTGCTGTTTGGCTTTGGTGTGTGTTCTGTGTCACAGAGATACTAGATCCTTGTTTTTTCCCTTTGTTTGCAAGATTGATCATGGCAGCACCTCACAGCCATTATCACCCCCAACTCTGCACTTTGCCTCATCAATCCCATCATTAAAATGCCAGCAATGGTACTGGAATCTCAGGAAGAGGTACTTTTACCCAGCCATTATCACCCCCAACTCTGCACTTTGCCTTATCAATCCCATTATTGGATTGATAAGGCTCATTAAAATGCCAGCAATGGTGGTGGAATCTCAGGAAGAGGTGCTTTCACCTCAGCTGATCAGCTAATGTGAAGATCTCCTCACTGTTCTAAACCTTTCTTTTTAATCTCCCTATGCTGTTTTACATTTTAGGCTTGAAAATCATATTGTAAAACTGCAGTTTAATTCCTGTCCAGAAGGTTGTGTTTGCTGAGAATTCCACTGGCTTCAGAGTTCAAATTCTCTGAAAAATTGGCCTGAGTCCCATCTGATTGATGGATTTTGCAACAGCCTCATGCTCTGAGTGTGCACAGAGCTGACTGCAGGCACAACCACCTAAATCAAACATTAACTGCCCGGTCCCACAGGGCATCTCCCCAAAAAGTAGGCAGAGAATACAGAAGCCCCTTGATGAGGAAGCACAAGTCATGCTCAGAGGAACTTTTGGAAGATCTCAATGGAAAGCCATCCTCTCTGAATTAGGGCAGAACACACCAACAGCAAAGGCTTCCTCCTTCACAGGAATCACCTGGAACACTATTCTGCCTGTTGTACTCATCTGGAGACACATCCAGCAGGCAGCTTTCCACCTGTAAATGGAGGACAAGGACTCCATCATCAATAGATTTTTGCAGAATAAAGGTTTTGCTGGTAGATTTTATGTGGTAGTGTAACAGGAGCTGACAGAATTTCTCCTGAAGGGGAAATGGAAAACAAGACAACCTGTATGAAATCTTTCCAATTTGCTATCAGTAATTCTAATAGATCTTTCTTAGCAGTCCACCTTCCTACAAGCTCAGCTGAACAAAAACCTTTGGCATGGCTAGGATGCTTTAGTTCCCAGACATTTCAAATCTGCTGATCCATCAGCTAAAGAAACCTCTTTTTCCCTGTATGTCACAGGGTGACAAGATGTAATCCCATTCAGGCCATAGCTTGGCTGCAGCTTGTCTCTGCTGGAAGAGAGGCATGTGCTTCTGAAGATGGCTGGATTTGAAGTTAAACTTCTGATGTGGAGGCATTTTGTGGATTTTGACTCTTGCAGGAAACAATATTATTTGAGATTTCAATGTAATTCTTAATGCCTGTGGTTAGAGCACAAAAAACCCCCAACAATTTATGGCTGAAAATATCAAGATGCCCAGTTCCAAGACAGCTTGTTATGGTATAGACCATATATTCTATTTTCCTATATTCTATATTCCTATTTATGATAGGATCTATATTATCAGACTAGTATTTTTAGAATTTAGGTAACCTCAGCTGTTAAGAAGTTTCTACTTCAAATGTAAAGCAGTTTCTTTAGGGATCTGTTATTGTTAGCAGAGCATGTGATAGCTGAAGCCTCCAGTTTTGATATTGTATTTTGTAAACGCCATTTTATATTCTTAAGATTATGAGCCCCTACCTCCACCATTAGAAAAAATATGCATAGAAACCTTCACTAGAAGGAGGTAAGGCAATCATTTACCATGCAAATATTTGGCATTCTTTGGTAAGTCATGTACATATTCCACAATCTGCCATACATCACCTCTGCCTCGGATTCCCTTCTTCCCAGTGTCCTGTGATGGATGGCTGGCATTTGAGTGTTCTGCCTTTTTTGCTCTTAACATTAGGCAGAGGACTAAGAGTGCACCATCAGGATGCTGCTGGCCAAAGGACCCAAACCTGGGGCAGTGGGGTGAGCACACAGGTAGCAGGGTGTGCCTGTTGTTGGCACACCTGAAAGAACTTCAGTTCCCACACAGGTAAGTATGTGCTGGTTTTTGGATGTTTTTTTTCCCCCTGATGCAATTTTCCTCTGCTGTCAGCACACATCTGCAAATCCCACTGGAGGAGCCTGGGTCTCTTTTCTTGCTCTCTGCTGGTCTGCACAATGGATGGAATCTGTTCCTGCTGTCTGCTGCTGTGTTAGCTCTGCTGGCAGAGGTCTGGGAGAGGGTCTGACATTTCCAGTCCTGTGGGGTGAATATAGCTGGGTTGTGTGGGATCTCTTTGCAGTTTTCTCCTTTAAAATCCAGGACAGACTAGGAAATGCTAGAGCTGAGAGGTTCCTGCCTTAACCTTTACAATTCACTGTGAATATGCATATAATTTTTAAAAAGGCTTTTACATTTCCAACATTCAATTAAGTATGTGTGCTGCATAGCAGTGAAAACTGGAAGACAAGTTTGTACTTTTGTTTTTCTGAGTGGAATTGAAAGCTTGTATTTTTCCCATGAGCCAGAGCTAAGCCCCATGTTGAAATCATCTGGATTTTAGCCAAACATTATGTACGTTTCCACTAGGTTTTTCATGAAAATCCTTCTTTTTATAATAGTGATAATTTTTATGTAGTTTGTAAAAAGGAGTAGAATGTAATTAAGACATCAATAAGTTATCAACAGGCTACTGATTGGCTGTAATTTTCATATTCCTGTTACTGACAAGCACAAATCCAAAACCCAGAAGACAGGGACACTATATACTTTTAAAATTAAAAAAAAGTGTGGATATGATTTTTAGGAGTAATTGGAGAGAAAAAAATCCCTTTCTCCTTCCTTCTTAGTGTTTCAGTACAGTTCATATATAAGAAATAACTTCTGAGTAGAGGCCAAACTATGTAAGCTAATGAATTATATTGATTGCTACAGTCCAAATAAACTTAGGAAGATGTGTCTGAATTTCTGTAATAATTAGGAAAAGCTCAGTGACTTTGGTTACAGTATAAATGTTTCTGTTTCTCTAACTGGTAGTTAGAGAAACTGCCTTTGGAGTGACCTCCTGTTCCCATAGATGTGGAAAGACCCTTCTATCAATATTTCATGCATTGAAGCTCTCACGTTGTCTCTGCTTGCATCTGGATCAAACCTTTCATGTCTTGTTCTGAAATGAAGCTTCTCACAGATTTTCAGTGCCCTTTAATGCAGAATTCCAGCAGTGCCTGGCTATTGTGTTGGCTTTCCAAGTATTTCTTCAAATGCACCTCAGTCTTCATCTTCCCTGGTCCTGAGAATCCTTGCTGTTTGTCAGAGCTGTCTGTTCCAGGTTGAGGGTTTCACTGCATGCTTGACTGTTCTGTTGGCACAGGGCTGCTGATAAATTTTGGACTGCTGATATACATTTTTAGGGGGTTTTTTTGCCTTTTTGCAAGAGAATTCTGACTCAAGAATGTGAACCAAGCCTAGCATATTTTCTCCTTTAGGGAATTAGGAAAGACAAATTAATTTATCTAAATTTACAGATACATTGAGAGGAGTTTGGTTTCTGCCTTTCTCTAGTGAGAACCCTTTAAATCTGGAAACATCCCTGAGAAGGTAAATGGATATTAAGAAGCAGTGTAAAATGTGTAGGCAGCATGTACCTAAGCTGCATTTTTGTTACTGGTTTTTGTCTTGATGTGTTACAGCTGAAATCCTGGAGCTGGCAGGAAATGCAGCGCGGGACAACAAGAAGGGAAGGATTGCCCCCAGACACATCCTCCTGGCAGTTGCAAACGATGAGGAGCTGAATCAGGTGCCTGTTTCCATTTTGGTGCAGGAGTTGTGTACTGTGCCTTGAGTGAACTGCTACCAGGGAAGGTTAGAAACAGCTTAGTCTGAGACAAGAATGAGATCACAGCTATTGGAGAAGATTGTGCCCTCTTAAAAGCAAACAAAAATTAAGGTTCTGAGGTACCTCATCTTAAATCTTATGGACATAAAAACTTTGGTTCTTCTTAGCCTATGAGTCCTGTTGAAACAAGTAGTCTTGATGCTTCACTTTTTCCTCAGGGACATTCAGTACTTAAAGAAAGTGTGCAAGACCTTTTCCCAAAAGCTGTAGAAATGTGTGTTTTCTATTATACTGGCTGTGAGGCCCATGTTGTGTAGGGATCTGGCTCACTCTCTGCTATTGCTGCCTCCCTGTCTGTTTGCCCAAACTGTGGTTTTCAGCACTCTGACTCCTGGGATCACTTGTGGGATCACTTGTGCTAAACTTGTTGAGTGAGGACAGAGATCACAGCATGGGCTGCAGATTGTACTATTCAGGGCTGCTGAAAAGGTTCAGTCAGCATCAGAGTATCTCCTCTGTATGAAGATGGATGATGTCATTCACACTTTGAATACTCCTGCACTTAATATGACTGCTTTAAATAATGAAAATGTGGTGCCCATGAAGTCATGTGGCTCTGTTTCCAGTCAAGTGGAGTAAAAATACAAAACAGGCCAGAAGAGAAAGTATGCTCACACCACCAACCCTTTCCCAGCTCCATGTTTCTAGTCAGTGACCTGTGAACTGGGATCTAGATCCAGTGTTGTCTCTTAGGAATTAGCCAGACTGTGTCCTCTACATGGTATCACAGCCCATTCCTGTTGTTCCCTCTGCAAAGCAGGTGCTTGGATCTTTTCCTTGCTTTCACTGCATCCGTTTTCCTGCCAAAGAGATGTGCATCCAGTCCTCCTCTGAGCAGGGCTGTGGTGCAGTCCTTTTTTTTAAGTGGCCCACAGACACTCTTCTTCTTTTACCCTTATTCACTGCTTGTGAGTCACCAAGGGCAGAATTGCACTAAGAAGGGGTAGGATTGATTGTACAGCAACAGAATTCTCCAGGATGTGCTGGCTGACTTTGCTGTCACCTGCCAAGTTCCTGGTTATTGTGGATTTTCTCCCTAATTGTTTTTGGTGGTGCAGACTGAGAGGATCTGTAATATGCTTCCATGCCCTGCTTGTCCTTGCAGCTGCTCAAAGGTGTGACTATTGCAAGTGGAGGTGTCCTGCCCAGAATTCAGCCTGAGCTTCTAGCCAAGAAACGGGGTGCCAAAGGCAAATCTGAGACCATCCTTTCCCCTGCTCCTGAGAAGAAGGGGAGGAAATCCATGGTGACCAAAAAGAGTGGGAAGAAGGCAAAGTCTACCAAGGCCCGGACGTCCAAAAAGGTAAGCACAGGGCTGGGACAGATTCTGTGTCACCCTCTGCAATATTCTCTTGAAATTGTGTGAAATCTCTTATCTCCACACTAACTCTGCAGCAGTGAACCCTTTTAAAATAAAGGAAGCTGTGTTCTAAAACATTTTCTACCAGAGAGATGTCATGCCTTCAGCATTGCACAGTTACTGGGCTGCTGTTAAAGATTTTTCACTGTCTGGAGAATTTGACATGGAACATCAATGTCATTGTGACCAAGATCTTTTTTTCATGTGTTCTTAGCTGTGCTGTTAGTGAGTTTTAAAACAAGAATAAATCAATCAGAACTTGACCACTGCACTTTCCCTTAAGGTTACCCATCTTCTATCACTATCCAAAATGGATTAATTTGGTAAAGCAGTAACCCAGATCTGTGCTCTTGGTTTGTCATTCCAGAGTATGTACCTTGAAACACTGCTGAGTTTTTCATTGGGTAGGGTTAAATGATACCAAGCTTTGCCTTAAACTTTTAAAACTTGGATTAAGCATATTTTTCAAAGTTTTAATACAGTTCCATAGCTGATAATAGGCAGAAACAGCCTTTAAAAAGAAAACAGAGTTGCTTAATGAGATGTTTAATTGGATGCCTCTGTGCATTGATCTCATCTACCACCTTACTTTAAATTGTGCACATGCAGAGTTTGGACTTGTTAGGAGGTGGCAGCTTCTTGACATACCTTAAAGCAAATATTGAGAGATGTGAGGAGATGCTCCTTTAGCCCTCTAGGACTAAACCTACTCTAGGACTGGTAGGTTTGCTACTCCTGAAAATAAGCTATAAGAAGGCTTTATCACTTAATAACTGAGACTTAAGCATTTGTTTTTCAGACCAGAAAGTTGTTTTTTCTTCAAATTGGAGCATTTGACTGGGTTACTTAGTGACTAAGTTTGATTTAATATGAGGTTCTGCTCTGTTAGCAACGAAAATAAACCAACACATGCCCACCCATGTAAATACAACCTTAATTGTCAGTAAATCTACAGATGGGTGTGGGTGCCTTGCCTCTGAATGTGACTACAAAAGCATGTAATGCCTCAGATGAACCACTGATTTAGCATTATATAAACAGTGCAGACCTCTGTTGTTACATAACCTTAGGGGATTACAAGGCTATGAGTAATGTATTGATCTGAGAAGATAAGATTTGTAGTAAGTTATTAAATCTCTCCATTATTGAATTATGCTAGATGGTGATTATTTTGTTTCCTTTGAGAAGTCTTGCTTGTTTTTTTCTCCCATCAAATAGAACAAACAAAAGGACAATGAAAAAGAAGGAGCTTCAAATTCAACAACTGAAGATGGACCTGGGGATGGTTTCACTATCTTGTCCTCCAAGAGCCTTGTGCCAGGACAGAAGGTAATAAAGAAAAAAAAAAACCAACAGATTGAGGCTTAGCATGAAGGGAAGGATTCTTTTCTCTTAAACCAAAGCATTTCCAAAATCAGCCTTTTTTTCTTCAAATTATGATGTTAGAACATTTGTTTTCTAGCAATAACTTCCTCTGGAGCAAGCTTCCAAGTTGTGGGCATATCACCAAATAATCTGAGTGGTGTGCAAATTAATTAATTAAAAGCTAAAAGTCAGAGTCACAGTACTGAACAGAACAAAATAGCTGGTCTCTGAAAAACTAAATCCAGCCTTCTTTCATTTCAGCCTTTTGGTATGAAAATGATTTTGCACTGCGATTACTATGTATTTGTTCCTCCCCACTCATTGTTATTTTTCAGCTCTCTCTGACACAGAGTGACATCAGCCATATTGGCTCCATGAAAGTGGAAGGCATTGTTCACCCTACGACTGCTGAAATAGACCTCAAGGAGGAAATAGGTGAGGCTCTGTACGTGAAGAAAAAACACAGCTAGAGCTGGAACAGTAGCTGGGCTACTGGCTGCCTGCTGAGATCCCATCCTGTTTCATCTGAGTCTACCCCAGGCCATAAAATATCACTTACAGCTTCTGAAAATCAGGCTGGGTCTGACTAGGTACAACAGGCTAATCACTCATTTGTCTGCTTTTAATGACAAGCAAAACACAGATCATTTGTTGGAGCACATGAGCAGCAAAGGTGTAAATAATTATTACTGAGGTGTTTATTGGCTTATTTTTACATTTGCATCTGAAAATTGCATTGCAAAATTATATGTTATTAACACTTCTAGCTATGACTTTCATTGTAGGATGTTACATAATTTAGAAATACTCATGTACAAAGCCTTATGCTGCTCATGCAAAATAAGGAAATACTGTTATTCCAAATCTGGAAATTTAAGCAGGAGGGAGGTAAAAAGCTATTCAGCCATTCACATAGGGGGCACAGAATCTAGTAGCAAGTTTTTGCATCATTGTTTTTTACTCATCAAGACCTTCACTGGCATCTCAGCTGTGTTTGTTTCAGTAAGTAGTAGGGTTTGTATGCTGGGTTCCTTTTGGAGGCTGAAAGCCTGAGTCCTGGAAATCCCACTCCACATTATTTTAGCCATGAGTCAGAGTAAATAGCATTCTTACAGATATTTATATTAAAGTAATTTCCAGTAACAGCATACAGGGCTCTACAAAACCATGAAAAGTAAACTATCTGTGTCTAGGCAGAATGGTAAACATAAAAATCAGCTGCTGCTGATAGAGGGAGACAGGATAGTGTGTGTACAGTGGTTTTTTAAATAATGTAGACTTGTTTTTCCACACTGATACTCTGAAGCCAAGGCCTTTTGCTCTGTGTCCTTGCAGGCAAGGCACTGGAAAAGGCTGGAGGCAAAGAGTTTTTGGAAACAGTGAAAGAGCTTCGCAAATCTCAAGGACCTTTGGAAGTAGCTGAAGGTAAGAAGGATACTCTGCTCTCTTTTGGACATGGCTCATTTTATATGTTCTTTTCTCTGGACATTCTGATCTGTTCCTGTTGTTATGTGTCTGTGCTTATGTGATGTAAGTGTTTCCTCAAAGCTGTTGCTGATATGGGCAGGTTCCTGAGGGGGAAAGAAAGGAAGAACTGGATATCTGTGGGCTGTACATTCTGTCTTGAGACTGATCAATTTGTCTTAGGCAATTTCTGTCCATGGCAGCCCAAAAAATAAGGAAATCTTGTGCCATCTTTCCTGCCCTGTTTGTACTGCAGCCTTAGTGAGAATCAGAAACAGCTCTCAGCCTAAAATATGAGGCATAGGAAAAATTAGTGATATTTCATAAATTATTCTCCTTTATGCATATTTGATGAATGTATATAACCCACGTAATTACCTTACTTTGAGCACAAATGAAGATGTGATATGATCTGCAGAACTGGCAAGCTTTTTGGAAAAGCAATTGCTCAGGCACTGCAGCTTCTTTATTAGAGCAGCTCCCTTCAAGGGTTAACACATTTGTAGCAGGGAATAGTTTGGGCCCTCATATTGTGCTTCCTTTGTGGACAGATTAAACCAATTGAAGGTGTCTGGAAGACAGATGGAGAAAAGTTACAATATGCCTTATTTGGCTTAGTATCTCTAGATCCAAAAAAATAAGTGCTTTAAATAGTGTAGTTTTGGAAAATTCCTAATTGAGTAGCCTAATTTTATCATCTGAAATGATAGAGAAATTTTTATACAAGATAATTTGCTTGACTTTCATATCAAATCAAATTTATATGCCATAAAATCAAAGTAAACTACTTTTCTCTGTCAACATCACTACCTAACTAGAAGATAGACTCCTTTTATACTATTAAGACAGCTGGTTAAAATTTAAGTAGCACAGAATCCCTCTGTGCCTGCAACAGAACTCCTCTGTGATGGAGAACAAGTGAATAAATCCAGGATTTTCATCCTTGGGCTAATTCCATCCTGCACAGCTGATTTCAGAGTGTTTAACCTGAGATTACCAAGACACCCAGACTCTCAGCAGTGCTGATGCTGACAATTGCAACAAAAGCAAACTGATGCTGTGCTGTAAGCTCTGCAGGTCCTGGAGAAATATTACACTTCCTAATTGGACATAACTGGTGGGGACTTTCAACAAACAACTTTGATTTTTATGTCCTTGTGTGAAATTACCCAGCTGCAAAGTGAGTCTACATATTACTCCTCAACTCTCTGGAATTGTAAAGTTGATGATGATGATGCAGGATATTTGTACAAAGCACTCAGTGACAGCACTGCAGAAATGTCTGTGGGGATTACTGATACTGTGTTTAGGGTGAGGTTTTTGTACTTTGCATAAAACAAACCCGGAGGCTGTGCTGAATGAGAGAGCTAAAAACCATTATTGAGAAGCTGTGTGCTAACCAAATGAGCCCTGGCTTCTTTGGTCTCCAAAGAAATAACAATTGATCACAGAAGGAATGGCGAGACAGGTTATTATTGCAAGTGAGCCATTGTGGTGTATTTTAATCCCAAATGTGTTTCTTTGGAGAGGTGAGGTAATTAAGCAGGTACTTTGGGTTGAGAGGTCGTGCAGGGCGGTTTCTGTTCCAAACTAAATGTTATATTTTCATTTGTGTTAGCTGCACTCACTCAGTCTAGCGGCCTAGCAGCAAAGTTTGTCATCCACTGTCACATCCCACAGTGGGGCTCGGACAAGTGTGAAGAGCAGCTCGAGGAGACTGTCAAGAACTGCTTAACAGCTGCAGAAGACAAGAAGTTGAAGTCTGTGGCTTTCCCCCCGTTCCCCAGCGGCAGGTAGGACTCCCTGTGGCAGGTAGCAGAGGTGGAATTGGCTGTCAGAGCTGCTGCTGTGACAGAGAGGTGCCCTCTGCTCTGTGACCCTGCCTCTGCTGCTGCCATCTGACACAGAGCTGCTCCAGAGGAATCCAGCCTGAAGTGCAGTGTTTGCATGAAACTGCCAGAGAGCCTTTGTAGAGAGAAATTAGCCAACCCACAGGAGAGCTGAGTGGGCTGGCTGTGTTTTCTATTGCTAGGCAGTCATTTTCATTCCTCTGCACCACCTCGGGTTCTGTGTCCCTTCATTTTGCTGTGGGGAGTCTTATTAAACCTGCATTTGTACTAATGAGGTTATAGCAGCACAATACTGAAGGCAGGTTACAGTGGTGCCACCTGAGCTCCGTGGATGTGGGGTGTTCACTTAAGCCCTCCTGATAATAGATACTGAAATGACTTGTCACACAAAACCTTTCAGAAGAAAATCTGGTTCTCAAATGTAGATCTGCTTTCAAAAGGGAAAACTGTTAAACCAAGTGTGAAGCCACACGTTTCTTTCTTAATAACTAGCAGTGGAATGTTCTTGACTAAGAAATCTGAAGTATTTTTCTTTTTTTTTCTTTCAAATTTCTTTTAAAATCAATGGTTTGTTGGTCTCTGATGACAAGAGATCTTACTGCTAACTGCAGTAGTTGTTGTTTTGTGTTAGAGTTTGTGTGTTTATATTTATTTTGAAATGTATCTATTGATTTTGATAGTAGTGCCCATAGAGTAGAGTACATAATAGAGTCCTGTTGTGTTGGCCTGACAGTGAATAAAATGAAAGTAAAATTGCATTTGACCAGTGAAATCACCACACATCACTGAGTGCACAGGAGGAGAAAATGCCATTTTTATACAGATACTTGTCAAAGCAAAAATATTTTAATGGATCAGAACAAAAGAATAAATAGATGGCTAATCTTTAGTATTTTTTTCATATACAGATATTTTTTGTTTTGGTTTTCAGTGAAAGCAAAATGTAATGCATTGTTTTAACAGTCTTTAATATGAAAATTAACTGTAGCTTTTAATGCCAACAGAAATCGTTTCTAGACTTCATGTCTTCTAAGAGCACAGAATCAGAATAATCCATTCTTGGACCATTAATCTTAGTGCAGATCCTTCTGCTGCTTTATTCCATTTCACCCTGCTTCTCTTACAATTACTCCTCCTAACAGAAATAGAGAGACTTACCAGGTACTGCTGGTTTACACTTCATTGATCAAAGTACCTCAAAATTTCCTGAAAAAGGCAGTTTTTCAAACAGGACTTTCTGGTTTTGCTGTCATTTTACTCTACCTCCATGTCTGCACCTGAAATGATGGGTTTGTGGGTAGATATATTATACTATATCAGTTATGTGATTTTTAATTTTCCTCTGTCCCATCTTAGGGGCCATTCACAGTAATTGATGTAACTTTGGGATACTTCAGTTGTGCCAGATCTTTTTGATGGTTTTCAATATAAATATGATTGTAGGTTAGAGAATATTACCATCAAGAGGAGTGACTGAATGCATCTTGACCTTAATATGGCTTGGAGTTGTAATTTCAATTATTTTCACAGGAAACCCAAGCAAAGTATTTTAATGACAGAGCAAGTGAGTCAGCTAAGTAGGTGATATTTTGGGTTTGTTTTTTTTTTTTTTCAGTTCTCAGCTAAAAAAAAAAAAAATATTCCTTTGAAATTTTTAGCCTGTCCAGCCTGGCATGGAAAAATTTAATTCTAAGGGCAAGCTTAAAAAAAATTTAAATAATTGTAAATAAAAAATAAAAATAAATACAAATAAAAATTTGTAAATAAATAAATTTGGTCATAAGCAAATGAAAGCAGATGAAAACAGAAGGTGTGCCAGTGAGGAAACTTAATTCAGCAGCATGTGAATATTGCTATCAAATCCTTGGGGTTTGCCAAACTGCAAGGGGCACAAACTGCAAGGGGCACAGAAGCCTGGCTGGCTTCTCTCAGCATCCCTGCCCAACACTCACCTGCTCTCTTTTCTTCCCTGACCACACAGAAACTGCTTCCCAAAGCAGACGGCAGCCCAGGTGACCCTCAGAGCAATTTCCACCCATTTTGATGGCACCAGCTCTTCCTCCTTGAAGAACATTTACTTTCTGCTCTTCGACAGTGAAAGCATTGGCATCTATGTGCAAGAAATGGCCAAGCTAGACACGAAGTAGCAACGGCAGCCAAATGAAACTTTATTTTTCAACAAACTTGAGTAGCATTAAAAGCATTAGAGGTGGGTTTTATTTTTTCAATGTGACAATGAGGGGGAGTGGTAGTAGTGTGATGTGTTGTGACTCGATGGAGAGCTGTGATTAGAGATGAGAGGGGTTTAGTCTGATTTCTTCATGCCATTTTTATCACCTTAAGCAACTGAATTATCATCTGGCTTCAGGAGTTTAGTGTCCTTTGTTACTTTAGTTTAGAGGTTTTTAAAGAGTAACCTCATTTTAGATTTGTAGTGATGATTTCTTCACACACACACACATGCCACTTTCAAGAAAGCTCTTAAAAATGTTCTGCTCCTTTTTCCCCTCCCTTGAGGGTAGATGGTAAACTTCTGCCTTCAGCCCATAGAGAGGTGAAAAGGGTTTTAGAAGTGATGCATGAGGAGCTTCTGTTTTGCTTTTAACTCACAATAACCTCTGTAATTACTGAGAATATTTCATGGTGATTTTGTTTGTTTTATAAGAAAAAAAGAAAAAGATGTGTCAAGTGTGGTTATTATTATAAACCCTAATTTTGCTCTGGGGATTTCTCACCCTAAAAAGAAAAAAAAGAAAAAAAAGGAAAAGAGAAGGGAAAAAAAAGCAGCAGCATCTGTAATTCAATGCTTGCCCTATCACAACCAGCAGCTTTTCTGGCTGAAGTTTGGTGCTGTAGGTGATGTAATTCAAGCTGCTGAAGAGATTTTGACACAAAGCTGAATTATATTCTGTTGCGTTCCAGGCTTACCATATCCCCTTCCAGGTTTCAGACAGGCATTACCCTGGCAGCACTGTGAGCCATTCTCCCTACAAGCTGCAGAGCAGATGCCAGATCTGTAAGAAACAGCTCCTTCTTAGAAGAGCAAGAATAGAGAAAGCCAGGGGAAAAAAACCCAGCCCACATAACAAACAAACCACAGAGATTCTGAAAAGCACAGTGTTTATTGTTACAAATCAAGGTAAGCCAAGCTTGTTGCCCAGAGCTCTCTCAGTGGGGGGAGTAAAATAAACATTTCTTCCCTGGTTTTTATCATGGCAACTTCTGTGCAGCTCATTTGGGAAGTGCCTCCTTCCCCGTCACAGCAAAGCAGGCACCCCTTTTATGTGTCACAGTGACAGGTGGCTTGAGGAGGTGCTGCAGAGGACAGAATCAATCAGTCCAAGCAATAGAAGTGCACTCTCACCCTCTTCCAGCTGCTGGATTGTTCCTGGTGCCCTCTCAAGAGGGCATTGTCTGCCCCATGGTCTTCCAGCTCTTGGAGACAAACAGATCCCGGCTCTTGGCAATGGTCACCAGGAGACGTCCCACATAGTAACCACTCACCTGGCCCACACCATCATTCCTGCCCATGGAAAGCAGGAATGTTAGTGACCCTGCAAAGAAGATGTAGAGGTGTAAGTGAAGCAGCTGTTATCCAGCTCCCCTGCATCCATGTGGAACAGCATTCAGCATAGTTCTGGTAAGTTTACATCAGTGCCCATTACCCAGCTGGATTTTTGAGACCAGATTGTTCAGTTTGTGTTTGTTGTAGTTTAAGGGGAGAAAGAAGGAAAAGGGAAGCCATCTTACTCCTGAAATTTAATTGGGTAGTGAGCAATTTTAAGAAAAGAAAATAAGTTTCATGAATAGCAGACTCCCACCAGTAGATTTATCAAGACATTAGTGAAGAAAGAACATGTATGGTACACTGACACAGGTAATACCTACACCGTGTCTTTGGCAAGGACTAATATGAAGCTGAGCTACAAGCTGACATTGTCTCAATTTTGAGTTCCTTCACAGTGAGTTCAGAGTCTCATGAATTAAGACAGCTGTTCCTTGCAGAAAAGCAGCCCAACACCTAAGGCCAGGTGCTAGGAGCTGACCTTACCTGGCTCGTAGGTTTTGAGAGGCTTCTGTGTCAGGCTGTTGATGATATTTGTCACCACGATGTTGGCATGCAGCCCAGCATGGTAGGCCATCTTGGGCTCTTTGAGATCTGCACAGTCCCCAATGGCATAGATGTTCTCGTAGCCTTCCAGCTGGAGGTGCTTGTTAACTTTCAAAGCACCATTACTTGCCATTTTGTCACCTGTTTTGCCAAACAGCAGGTTTTTAGAAGCAGCTTTGTGTTGCTTGTTGTGGCCTGAGACCCCAAAATGCTGCAGATGTAATTGACATGAAGTGAGGGGCTGTTTTTCACCCTCTTTTCTATGTGGCAGGGAAGAGCTGCATTTTGCCTTGCTGTAGTTAATCACTGCAGTCTCGTGCAATGCATCATCCTTGGATATTTCAGTAGAATCACCCCGCAGGTTGTGCACAGTCCATTCCCCACCTCACGCCCCTCAGGCACCACACACTGAAGAACTGCTGCTTCTCCCCACCCTGTGGTTTGGTTTTTTGCACTTACCAAATGCAGCAGCATATGCAGAAGAGTTAATCTTTATCCCTGTGCACAGCACCACCATGTCAACAACCACCTCGGTGCCCTTCTCTGTCCTCACTACCGTGTCTTTCTGGAACTGGTTTGGCCTGAGGCTTTCTATGTCGCTGACCTTTTCACCTGTTAAAACAGAGAGCCTTGGGTCACAAACCTCTGCTAGGCTGTGGTTTCCAGCTAACCCAGAGGAACAGGAATTCAGGGGAGCCATGTGTAACCAAAAAAGTCAGAAAGAGGACACCAGAAGATGCTTTGGCTAAAGGAAGAGCAGTTTGTAGGTGTTCAGAGGCATCGTTAAGGACACACCTAACAGCAGCCGGACTCCTTTCCTGAGGAGAATCTCTTTCACCACCTGACGGACACTGGCTAGCAGCTCCACGTCAGCCAGTGCAGTTTTTGAGTGAATGAGGATGACCTGTTGGGGACAAAACAGCAAATGGGGACACAGGAACAGAACAGGACTCACTGCGTGCAAGGTGGGAGCAGCTACAGCTGGCCTCCCTCCACCCTAATTGGTTCCTGCAAGAACAAGCCAGGAAGGGACACCTAGTGCCACAGCCCTTGCTGGTGGCTGGCTACAGGCTCAGCAAGCAGGTGTGCAGTCATCTCAGGTGCCTCCAGCAGCACCATCATGGAACAGCATGAGAAGCAGGATGCAGTTAACTGTGCTGAAGATCCTCCCACCTCTTTGTCCGGGTACTCTGTTTTGATCTCGGCAGCCATCTCCACTCCAGCTGCGCCACCTCCCACTACCAGGATGCGCTGAGATTTCTCAATCTTCAAGAGAAAATCTGTGTTACAAGAGAACTGCAAAGGGCAGGAAGCCAGACACCTTCAGCCACTCCATGAACATTCTGCCCAACAGCAATAAACCTCTTAGCTCGTTAAGAGGCAACAACAAAGGAGTGCCCTGTGAACTCTTCCTGCCTGCCCTGTAATACTGTTGAGCATTTCAGCTTACCCCTTCTGCTAGAGAAGCTATGATGAGCTCCTTGTCCTGGCTGTTCCTTGTGTCCCTTTCTCTTAGACACAGCTGACTTACACAGTGGTATCTGGGACAGGGAGGCTGAACAAAGGCAGGCAGCATTTCCTAAGAGTTGATTCCTCACCTCTTTAACCATGTCTTCATAGGTCTGGATGGCACTTCCCATGTCAATGACTTGGTTGAACTTCCCAGGGAATGGCCCATCACTGCCTGTTGCAATAATGAGATGGGAGTAGTGAAGCTCCTGGGAGGGCAGAAGGTAGAATGGGACATTAGACCTCTTAAAAACAGAGCCTAGAATGCAGTGGTTGCCTCCTAGGTATTGGTCACTCAGTCCCTCATCTCCATCCCTTGCTGGTAACCAGGAAAGTATTTGTCACTGTCAGAAAGTGACTTTAGGAAGAGACCTGGTCCAGGTCACACCAAATAACTGTTCCTCAAGGTCTGAGCTAAGCACCATTCAGGTGAGTTGAGAGCTTTAAAGAAATTAACCTAAATTTACAGAGAATATTTTTGCTGGACAGTCACAGCTGATTCCAGAGACTTTCTTCTCTCCTTCACTCTCTCTTGAACAGAGGTGAGATGCTCTGGCTGAAAAGAGTGATTGATGCTGCTGCTCTTGGCTCTTCCTGCAGTTAAATAAGGATCTGAGCCCCAGGTTTAATTGTTGAGCTCTAAATCCAGCTCTAAGAATAAAAGCTCAGCTGAGCAGGAGATGGGGTTGGGTATTTACTGCACACCCACATTCCAGCACAGCTGAAGGCCACTTAGCTCGGCTGGAAGGGATGGGGCCATGGAGGCAAGGATGCCAAGCTGTGCAGGAGGATGGAACACACCCTGCTGAAGGCTGGCTGCCTGCACTAGCAGGTGATCCCACAAGGCAGCCAGGTCACGGCAACACCCACCTCACCATCACTGAGCACGACTTGTTGCCTCCCAGGGTCTATGGCCACGACCTTGCCCTGTCGGAAGCTGTCCCCAAAGGTGACCGAGTAGGAGATGAAAGTCTTCTTGGCAAATCCTGTGGGAAGAGGAGACAATGGGAGAGCTCTCCTTCTCTGGAGGCTAACCACCCCCTCTTCTCCCCTCACGCTGTTCTTACTCAGACAAAAGCATGCCATGCATTTGGGACTGTGGCTGGGCTTTTGCTAGGTGTTATCTGCCCAGCAAGGAGCTCCAGGATTTGCCTCAGGTCAGGTGATACTCTTGGCTGCATTGCTTTGTCTCTGCTCCTCATATCTCCTGTACTGGTTTACCAATTAATGTTGGTTTCTGGCTGGGTGTCAGAGGCTTTTTTCATGTCATGTGCCCCTCAGACCAAACTTTTGTTATCCTTTTGATGTTTGTTCCCAGCCTCGAACGTACTTTACCCCTGAGTTCCCCAGTGACTGGAGGAATGGGGCTGGCCCAGACAGGCCCGAGCAGCTCTGACAGGGTTTGATCATCCAGGCCTCGCTGCTCCGCTGTTCCAAATTCCAAGGGCTAGGTACAGAAAGCCATTGACTCACCCCTTCCAGCTGCTCTTGCTTTTAGCTTAGTCACCTTTTGAACTCTTGAAATAAAAAATAAAATAAAGGGGGGGGGGAGGTGGAGGATAGATGGTCTGAGCAGTTTTTGCTCAGTTTTCCCAGTGGGTGTGTAATTAGCTTAACCACAGACGGGCTGTGGGTCCTCCCGGTGCCAAGCATTTGTTTTCCTGATGGAAAACATCACGTCTTTCACCAGGGCAGGGCGGAGGCGGTGCGAGCCCCGCGTTCCCCGCCGCTCCCCGCGTCCCGATGCCGGTGGCACGGGGGGCTGCCCGAGCCCTTACCGCTCTCCACGGCGGCCCGGAGCGCGGCCACGTTGTGATGGAAAGCATCTCTCATGTCCACCAGCACGAAGGGGACGGCCCAGGACTTGAGCAGGCTGGCGGCCGCCATCCCTCCGAAGCCGCCCCCGACCACCACGACCCGCACGGACTCGTCCAGGGACAGGCGGGAGCCCATGGCGAGCGGCGGCTGCGGCGGGGCCGGGCCGGGCCGCGCTCGGCCTCCCCGGGCGGAGCCGCGGGCGGAGCCGGGCTCCTGGGCGCTCAGCCCGGCACCCGGGGCTGCAGGAGCCCTGAGCCCGGCACCCGGGGCTGGCAGAGCCCCGAGCCCGGCACCCGGGGCTGGCTAAGCTCTCAGCCCGGCACCCGGGGCTGGCAGAGCCCGGCGCTGCCGGTCCGGAGAGCCGCGGGCAGGGGATGGCTCCTGCCAGGCGAGCAGAGCGCTTCACCTTCCCTAATACCCCCCACCCCCGGCGAGAAGGGACCGAGGGTTTTACGGACGGAAAGCTCTGCTCTGAACTTCACATAGCTGCAGGCTGGGGGATGGTCCACTCCACCCGAAAAAACAGCCTTTTGGAGAGCGAAATTTAAGATTACAAAATTACAGAATCAATTAGGAAAAGACCTCTGAGATCATCAAATCCAACCTATGAGCAAACCATGCCGACCAGACCGCCGAACTCAGTCTCTCCTCAAACGCCTCCAGGAATGGTGAATCCGCCACCTCTCTGAGCAGTCCATTCCAATGTTTAATCACCCTTTCTGTAAGGAAATTCCTCCTGATGTTCAGCTTAAACACAGAAAACATGTATCTGCTCTGAGTGGAGCAGGAAAGGGAGCCCACAGATGGCTGTGCAAGAGAGAAGATCACAAAATCACGGAAAGGTTTGGGCAGGATGAGATCTCAGAAGCCGTCTGGTTCCAACCTCCCCACCATGGGCAGGGACACGAGCTCAGCATCAGCACGGTGGAGACAGTGGGACATAAAGAGAGAAAGAAGGGCCGAGGAGGTGGCAAAGGGCCCAGGGGAAGGGGAGTAGGGGTGGAGGAGGTGGGCACTATAAAGGACACCCAGATCGTGTTCTTCCGCAGCACGGAAGTTGCCCCGAAGACTTTCAGCTCCTGTGGCATCCTGGATAAATATAGCTGCTGGCCCCGTGGATAAAAATGGATAAAAATAGCTGCTGCACACACTGCGGTGCTGTGAGCTGGCAGAGCTGCCCCCGCCCTGCTCCTCAGCCCTGCCTCAGCCAAACACAGCCCGGTGCCAAAACCCCCTCGCAGCAAAACGCCCTCCAGCCTTGGGGGGGACAGACGACGAAGGAATTTTCCGGGAAAAGCAGGGCCTGGACCCAGGATTGCCGCCAGAGGGTGCAGCCAGCTCGGCCGTGGGGACATGGGACACTGTGTCCCAGTCCAGCGCATCCCTGCCTCGGCCACAGGAGGGGCTCGGGACTGGGGAAGGAGGGTGACAAAGGGGTGGCAGGGGTGCGGGACGTTCCTGCACCCCGCGCTCTTCAGCCTGGAAGAGAGCTCGGAGGGGAGGGATGGAGCAGGCAACAATAAAGCTGGAATGGAATAAAGCCTTGCTGGGAAAGGCCATGGCTCTGCTGAAATACACCCAGGGCAGGTTGTACTGTTTGTTACACAGGACTCAGCTGGAAATGCTACCGTTTTCAATAGGAGACAGTTTTGATATCTGTGCGGTATAAACCTTCAGAGCTGCTAAACACCTGTCCTGGCCAGGAGGTCTGGGAGCTATGAATGTCCAGAGGCTGGGAAATATGCCCAGGGTAACTGCTTCAGATCTGTCTCTGTCTTTTCTCCTGGTACTGGCATGGTACCTGTGTGAGAAGGCTGCTGGAAGAGCCTGGCAATGGCTGGCTTTGGGAAAGCACAATTCAGTGCAAAAATAGTAAAAAACCCCAAACCCACCTCCATTTCTAAAGGGATGAACTCCGCAATTTGAATCTGGTTTAAGCTCTTTTGCAAAATTACGTGGACAGGCTTGCTTGGCACCCCTTGTGTGTGAAACCATCCCAGGGGCAGGTTCTCCTTACCTGTACAACTTCCTTGTTGTTTCACCTTCCTGGAGCAAAGCTGGATCAAAGGCCCCTTCCCAGCAGATGAGGATGCTGAGGATGAGTTGCCATTTTCCAAATGCTGCTTTCCTGTCCCCCTTCCTTTGCACCTTTGTGCCCAGCTCTGTCTGCTCCAGAGGCAGTTTTGGGCTTTTCATGACAGGCATTTTCCTGTATTTTACAGCATATCCATTACTCCAGCAGTACTCTGTAAATTTCCCCTGTCCAACCTGATGTTTTCCCCCTCCAGGTATACATGAGGGCTACCTTCAGGTGAATCCAGTTGGACAACAAAAGATCAGGGCAATCTTTCAAAAAAAAAGGAGGAAAAATCTTCTGGGCCAGTGAGTTGGAGATGCACCAACAAGCAAGAAAGATCACTGGCAAAAAGAGTGCCCAGAGCAAACAGGGAGGGTAAAAGGGGCCTTTGTAAAATTCCTGTCCCCCTTCCTTTGTGCCCAGCTCTGTCTGCTCCAGAGGCAGTTTTGGGCTTTTCATGACAGGCATTTTCCTGTATTTTACAGCATATCCATTACTCCAGCAGTACTCTGTAAATTTCCCCTGTCCAACCTGATGTTTTCCCCCTCCAGGTATACATGAGGGCTACCTTCAGGTGAACCCAGTTGGACAACAGAAGATCAGAGCAACCTTTCAAAAAAAAGGAGGAAAAATCTTCTGGGCCAGTGAGTTGGAGATGCACCAACAAGCAAGAAAGATCACTGGCAAAAAGAGTGCCCAGAGCAAACAGGGAGGGTAAAAGGGGCCTTTGTAAAAACCTCACTCCCAACCCCAGGCAAACAGGAAGAAACTCGGAATACCCAAAGCTGAGGCCAGTGGGAGCATTCAGTGGCAGGTCAGGGCTCAGGTTTAGCAGATGGGATGTTTGGATGATAATTCTCCAGCTGGGTGCATACAGGTGGTGAAAGTTCATCAGCCTCAGAGAGGTTTTTCTGCTGCTGGTGGTTGGTGGGGCAGGGATGGGTGGGCAGGCCTGGGGCAGTGATTGCCCTGCCCTGCCCTGTCCTGCTCTGTTGCAGGCTCCCTGGCCTTTTCCTCCCAGCTGCCCCACAGACCAAATGCTCCCTGCAGGATGGCAGGGGGAAAAAGTGTAGGGAAGGGGCTCTGTGAGATGCTCTTGCCCCAGTTTGCCACTCTGAGACAGGCAGCAGGGGTATATGTGCCTGTCTGTGAGTCCTCTCCTCGTCAGGTGTAATCCAGCATCATCCAGAGCTAGGAGACATCCCTCTGAGGATGATTAATCCATGGATGGGTACAACAGTGCTGTGTGGGGAGACTTTAGGGTGCCACAAGTGCCCCTGCTCTGCATTGGCCCAAATCCCTGTTAGCCTCTGCATCTTTGTCCTGCCCTCCCTGATCATCGGGGCAGTTTGGCCTCCCTAACTTTGCAATAACCCAGACAAGCTGATAGAGGGATAACATTCCTCCCTTCACCCTCCTCTAGGGAGCAGCTCTCCCACCTGGGCCAGGCTTGGCCCTCTGCCAAGCCTGAGTTGCTGGAGACTCTTTTTCTGGCTCACAGCCATGTCTGCAAAACCCCAAATCCTCTCCTGTATCAGCAGCCTCACACACCACATTCCCTCTGCCCACAGACACGTCCTGCACATCATCCTGTGACAGCCCCAGTGGCACCAGGGTGGCTGCAGCTCTCTGGCTGTGCCCCTGGAGGCTTTGCTTCAGGAAAAGGAGGATTTCCAGTCTCCCAGGGATGAGGGGTTGCTCTAGACAAAATGCCTGGTCCATCCTTGCTCCCCAGCTCCCCATTTTGCCTGGGTGAGCTGGTTACCCCCCATGCCTCAAGGAGCTCAGCCAAGGTGGAATTGTGTCAGTTCAGGGCAAAGAATCACCTGGAAAAACCAATTCAGTCAGTTCCTGGCTGCTTTTAAGCATCAACATTAGGTATTTTATATCTTATACTTAAAAATCTACTTTTATCAGAAATCAACAGGGTTCCACTTACATTTATTCTCTCCGTGACAAACCTCATTTTTCATTTCCAGTTTTTCAGTGCTATGAGAAGACAAGCTGCTTCTCATGGACAACAGCATCAAAATCACCCTGTTTTGGTCAGGCTGGACCAGTGATGTGTATTTATAGGCAGCATCTCTGTACATGCCAGCCCATAAATTGGTCACAGATCCCAGCGAAAAGGGTGGGAAAACCCCAAGGGTGAAATGCAATGGTCTCTGCAATTAAATGGTCTTTGTATCCATGAGAAGAGCCACGGGGAGCTGTGATCTCTCTCCATCCCACCTCAGAGCTGTGCCACAAAGCTCTTCTCCTTTTTCCTGGGATCACAGTGTGCTCTGTGCCAAGGTGCTGCCCAGCTCCTCTTTTCCTGCAGGATGAGTTTGCCGGGCTCAGCGTGCTGTGGTGACAGTCTTCACCTCACCTGCCTTTGCCACCTACAAATTTGGGCTCAAACCAAGGCAGGTTTTGGGGAAATGGGGGTGCCCAGGCTCACATCAGCTCCTGGCATGGGCTGAGCAGGGACCAAGCAGGGCTGTCCTTCCCCTTGGAGGAAACTCCTGCTCAGACAGCTCCTGCTACTGCCTTGGGGTTTTGTGCCATGCAGACCTTTCCTGCTCCTCCAG